GTAATCAACAAGCGGATTCCAGACCTAATATTCTCTATATGTCATGCCGATGGCAATGACATGTATGACGATTTAAAAGCGCGTTCCATGCCACACATTCTATGGCACAGCCGATTCAAGGTACCCACTATACGCAATGATGATGACGCTGATGAGGGTAGAGATGATAATGATAATGATGATGATGATGATGTAGATCAAAGACAACGGCGGGCTTCTCTGGTATATGACGTCCTGATATGCTCTACGCCGTATTTTGTATGACGGAAAACAACCAACAACCACCTGGGGAGCGCTCAGACCTCGAATTGCCAACTGCAGGCCAGATCCGATTCCACAAATCACTAATATTAAAGGCGAAACTAATTTTACAACTCGACGAAACATTCCAGTTATGACGAATAAACGTTCTATTTTAATGTACTCTCCTTGGCACTCATTCACATGCGTGAGTGGTCAACTTAAAGTGTGATTTAAAGTAACACCGAACCATCCCACTGCTTCGTCAAGGGATTATCAATCACTTCGTGGATACGCCGTCATGTCTTTTTTTGGTGCCACATTAGTGAAAACCTGCAGGTAATTAAGCCAACGAAGGTATGTAGGAAGCATCATAATCCCTTTATGTGTGTTTTAAAAATTCTTTTATAGTTGTGAAGAAAGCAAAGTGAACTAATATGCAGTATGTCGACAGTATGCGCTTACCGAAACGTGACCTTCGAATCCTAAGCAGGAACGAAGCTTGAAACTTTTCGTTAGAACCTGTGAGCTTCAGATCCGATGTTCTCAGGTTCGGTTTCTGCCAGCAGGTTATTGCATTTTCGTTCACTTTACTTTTTTCACAACTATACCACCAATACTATAACTCGAAATAGTGCAAATAATCTCCCCATAGCTTTTTAAAAGCGAATGCGTTTCTTAGTCGGGCTATGTCAGGCATACATCGGGATCAGTCCACCGCCCTCTCCCCGTAGCAATAGCTGCGGGCTCGCGCTTTCCTAGCAACCACAGTCCCCACCATGTCACGCTTCGGTATCGGCAGCAGTCAGCAACAGCTGCGGGCGCGCGGGCTTACCCTCAATCCTAGCAACTGAAGCATGTGGTGCCAGAGAGTGTAGCAAAGGGTATGGGTCGTTCTACGCGCTTCCCGCACAGCCCCAACGCACGTGCCGGGACCCCTACCGCACACAAGCGGGGAACAAATAAGCCAATTGGCGACGCTGCGGAGGGTGAAAGAGCGTCGCCAATTGGCTCAATGTCCCCCGCTTGCGTGTGGTAGGGGTCCCGGCACGTGCGTTGAGGCTCTGCGGGAAGCGCGTGGAACGGTTCTAAGTGCAGTGCTTTGCCACTCCTCCTCTCGTTGTCCACCCTTTCTCTTCCCTGCACCCAACTTTTCCGTTCTCTCGAGCCTCACTCTCGAACGTTCGCTGGCTGGGTGCCTCTCAAGGAGGTCCGGGAATGTGTGCTCGAGACGCCGCTGTGAAACACTGACGCCGAGCCGAGAACGCTGTTTGTTTTGTCCGCTTCATAATATGTTTTAGCCGTTTACGCTTGCTACTAGTGCTGCAAACGCATACCGCGTTTCTCGCGACAGACAAACATCACGATGGGCAAACTGCGCTATTGGCTGCATGGTATAACAAAAAAAAACATTTTTCTTCTAATGCCGGCTTCTCACGTGCGAAACCACGTTATGAACGGTACGAAATGTGCTTGCATTTTCCCACAATTCACTTCGTCAAGGTGGGGACATTATTTTTGGCTGCACTGCCTACTGGTTTTCGCTTACGACGAACACCAATAGTTGCATGCATGACTTGTATTCTGGGTTATAACACCACGTGCCGACAACTTGTCAATCATTATGTCTAAGTTTTTGCTCATTCCTTTTGCAACACCCTGCCAAGTGAAGGTATACGGAGAAAGTGAAATTGAGAACCACCCGTTTGTAGAACAAAGCCACAAAAAAACTTCCAAGTTTATGAGAAAGAAATCCGCACGAATGTTTTTCTCGGTTTTATGAATTCTATTCGCAATAGTATGGATTCGTAACCACAAGGACTTCTTGGAACAAACCCATAGGGCTATGCTTGTGACATAGAGCTACGAACAGGTGGTTACCAGTTTCTCTTTCTGATCTCTCGAATAAATCTCATTTTTACTTATAACATATCGTAAACTCTTTCTTTAGAGCTGACGAGAGCTATTTACTATTGATGCAAAACCAGATTCTTTCAAAGCAGTCTCTCATGGTATGATTTAATGGCACCATTAAATGATAGTATCGAAAGTGATATCAATCATTCTAAGTTAGAAACATTAGAAAGATGAAGTGATCACAAATTGTATTCAAAATATAGGGTGACTATTCTCCAGGACATAGTAGCAATATGGGAACCAGGCATGTGATGTAACACCATCACGGCGACAAAGAAAGAAAAAAGAAATTGGACTGGAGGTACTGTTTGCGACAACTTTACATGTTCGAGAATTTTACTCGATTTGAGTGTGACCATCTACTAAATATAATTTTCAAGAGAAAAAAGGCTATGAACTTGAAGTGGTTTCAAATAACTGCGCTGAGATATTCATGTCTTGATGGTATCGCTCACCCTAGAACCTAAAAGTGAGAATCCCTAGAGTGATGGCCTAGGTTACCTCTTAATGCCCCGCCGTGGTGGTCTAGTGGCTAAGGTACTCGGCTGCTGACCCGCAGATCGCGGCTTCAAATCCCGGCTGCGGCGGCTGCATTTCCGATGGAGGCGGAAATGTCGTAGGCCCATGTGCTCAGAATCGGGTGCACGTTAAAGAACCCCAGGTGGTCAAAATTTCCGCAGCCCTCCACTACGGCGTCTCTCATAATCATATGGGGATTTCGGGACGTTCAACCCCACAAATCAATCATTAGGCTACCTCTTAATATCCTACAAATCTTAGCTTCACCCACTCTGGTATTCATTTTTCTAACAAACAAGTTCAGCACACAACATTATGCGAAAGTTCAGTGCAGCATTGCAAACAGGGTCCGCAAGACCACACTGAATCACATTTTGGGCCCATGGTTACACATGCAAGTTTTATGATGTTGTATTCAGGAAAATTCCTCATTTGCAAGATGCCGATGTATGCACGATCTGCACAAGTCTCCACTTTTATTCTCCACTGATGTAGTTGAATCTAAGGTTATGTTACAGTAATTATTCTTACTAAAATAATATACCTCAGCATATGGCCAAACAATGACACACGAAGAGCGCTTTCAGTAGACCAGGCAAGTTTATTACATACTATCGCGCAAGTCAGTATTAGGACCAATCCCTCTTTCACGTCTCAAAATGCACAATAAGTGACCATCCATCCCGTCACCTTCAACATGCAATGGTGTCAGCAATTACCAAATCACAAATGACGTCACCATGAAGTCATCTGAGACGTTATCACGAAGTCACACGTCGCCAAAATTTGTGGCCTCGTCGTGCGACGGCATTGTAAGACGTTACATCATCGTATGAACTCGTCGCTCGTTCAAAGGTCAACCGACCTCGAATGCAGTGGAACGTAGGTCTTTTGAATAGATTTTCGTAGAAGTTACTCGAGTTCACTGACAGGGGTCATTGTGTTATTCAAGATAAAAGTGCATTTCATTGGAAGAAACCAGTTGCGATATTAGAACCATAATTTCCACATTTTAGTCTGCGCGTTTGCCAAGTTACATTCATCTCGAAGCGTGAAGAAACCTTCAGCAAGTGGACGGGAGGAGATAAAAACGCTTTAAAAGTGAAGTAAGGCTTTCGTTTTCGCGCACTTCAAACTGTTAATACGTTTCTATTAAGCATCCATTGAAAAAAACTGCCTTTCAAGCTTGTGAAAGAGAACTGCGTTCCTGGTATAGGTCTTATATATTGACTAGAACGCGCTGCTTTGAAAGCAATCGCCACAACAATAACTACAACTAGTGAGTAAGCTAATACCTGCAAGACTCCATAGCTACTTCGAAACTTTCAGGAATGAAAGCAGCTTCAGCTCACCAGTAACTTGCACCGCCATGCAGATATATATATATAACGTAATAAGGTAGCAATGGTTGGTAGAGGCCAAGAAGGAAGAAGGGACAATGAAATAAACATGACGTATCAGCCAAGCCACGTCTCCCAGTCATCGTCGCGTATATATATATATATATATATATATATATATATATATATATATATTGTGTGTGTGTGTGTGCTGCCATATCTATTGAATTCAAATACTCTGGATCTATTCTGAGAATGCCGGTGCTTTTTATTGAACCATTCTTGAGCTGCGCTTAGCAAGTATTTCGCTTACGTCTTGCCTTCACTAGAGTCGTTGTGTATACATCAGCAGTCTAACGTCAAAGCGCCTGGTGTCTATGATCAGCCTAACGGGAGAGTAGACACTGTTATCTCTATCCTGTCGCACCACAATCCACATCCGGGAACGAGCTGTGGGCGTAAACTTGTCACCTGCAGTCACTTTTGACCACTGTACAGAGCACCCTGCAGAAAATTAAACTAGCGTGCCAAATTAACTTTGCAGGGGTAAACATGATTCTCCTTCTTAGTCGTACATAAAATTACCTTAGCCAATCACGACATCATCAAAACTAGGCGTTACAGCATCTCGAAAATAGGAGCACCAAGGCTCTCACTAGCATTTAGAGTGAGCCGGCTGTTTCAGAGATAATGGCGATACAAACAATAATTGCTCGTCTGTCGCTGTGAACCACCGTCGGGCGAGCCGCAACTACGCGTAATAAATGTTTATGGTAGTTTGTCCCCGATATGACGTCACTATCTCCAGGGGTCACCGAGACGCTTATCGGCAAGAAGTGTCGGCAGGGGCCTCTTCCACGGAGACTTCAAGGCGCCTTGCCGCGGCGTCCATCAGAGGGGGGGCTTCGTGAACGGAACTGTCCATAAACCTGACGTCACCCACGTAAGCTCGGTAGCCAATCCAGACCGAGAGTGTCTTGGTTTACAAGAATCGCTGTAAAGCGAAGAGCTAGCCGCATAAAAGAACCCACGAACCTCGATTGGTACACAGTGAAGTCAAGAGAAACGTTGGAAACTGACAAGCACAGAGGAGTACCACCAAAGAAGCAAGATGATCGTGAACGCAAGAATCCTGTGTCTCAGCGCCGTCATGGTCTTCGTGGCGGTGCAAGTTACTGGTGAGCTGAAGCTCCTTTTATTTCTAAAACTTTAGAAGTAGCTATGGAATCTCGCAGGTATACGCTTACTCAGTAGTATTAATTTTTATGTGTGATTCCTTTCGAAGAAGCGCGTTCTCGTCAATATATAGGACCTACATAAAGGGGTAGTTCGTTTTCACAAAATTGAAGTGCAGGTTTTTTTTTTTTTTTAAGCTGAGCTGCTCAATGGAAACATATTTACAGTTTGAAGTGTTTCATACTACCTTTGATTTTGCTAAATCAGAACGCACTTTATCGCAAAACGTTCACTCTTTCAAGAATTAAGAAATATATAGGCACATTTGTCGCCTCCTGGAGCGAAGGCATGTCATTGTCGTAAATTGTACGAAGAAATTAGTTAGACTATTCAGGGTATTTTACTATTTTTAATTACTCTACATGAAATTGCTTTAAGGTTCATAGACATAAAACATTTCCTTCCATTTCATTCTTCAGCCGTTCCTTTGGGCGTGGCATCACCAGGCTTGGCTCTTCCCAAGTGCCCAGAGGCTACCAACTACGGCTTTGTAAGAATAATTGGTCATTTTTATCTACATTTACCTATTTACGTATAACGGTCCATTAAAGTCAGTTTCAACTTAACAACCTCCACCCTGAAAACCTTACTGCGTTTGTCAGGCCGCTCTGAAACCTAGTCTTACCAGCTGATTGTCAATTTAGGTGCAAGCACTTTATGCTAATTTTAACATGGTTTAATAGTCAAATATTTATTTTTAGTTAACTAAGTATCTTTTACTGGGCATTTTTCAGAATGATAAAACTAATCTGGTCGTTGTCGTCTTCTTTCTGTATTGAACGAGCCAGACAAAATCGTCCCGGCATAGAAAAATGCGACTATGTTCCTCAATCTAGAACATCCAAAACTGAACCAAGAAGTGGCGTGTTCAGTTCGTTACGTCGTTGAGCAGTACACGTTTTGAATCGAATGAACAATCAATATGAATTGTTTAGCAGGTTAACGGCTCAGCGGAAAACATTTCTTTGCAGCAACTTACTTCGTATTTCGAACATAAAACAGTTATTTGTGTGTAGACTCCGCAAACTTGGCAACAGAAAAAAACCCTGACATTGCTTGCAAATACCCTTTATTTTTTGTAATGAAATAATAATCGCACGTCAGTCAGAGATTTTATCTAAGTGAAAAACAACAAAAAGATAGTAATAAAATTTTCGTAAGACCAAAGTACTGTTCAGTAATAACGAGTCTCTTTGAGTAATCAACTTCTTTTAAGTACCGACAATGCATAAGTAGGCATCTATCTTCGAGTAGATTAAATAGTATACGTGATTACTAGAAAGGAAATTGGTATACAATTGAGATGAACATTGCTTACTACTGAGAATTATACGTTCATGGCGATCACTCTTATTTAGGATGCACTCTAATATTAAAAAAAAAACATTCTTTGAACTTCAATTCCATGACCATGTTTTATGAAGAAAAAGTCTATGGCGATAAAGCATAACAATATATTGGAGGTTTTATCGGGCATGAATCGTCATGCCTTTATATTTATACCTTTTGATCAAAACAAACTATTTCATTATTTGCGAATTCTTTAACCCCTGACATTGGTTATGAGACACTAGTACAAGATTGTAGTTGATGGTAGGACCCTATGGTGAAATCAGAGTACAAGCAACAGGAATGTAGAAGCTTGGCCCTCTTTTAAAAATTTCTTTTTCAGATATTCTTTTTGATGTCATTATGAGATAATTTCCTTCGTATTTCAGCTTATTTTCGCACGGCTAAGGAACCCATGCAAATATTTGTGCCAAGGATATCCCATTCGCTTTGAAGCTGAAGACAACGGAACACCATGCTCAGTAAGACAGTATCTGCATTTTTCTAAGCGTTGCGTACGGATATTTATGCTCACTGAAAGCAGTAAACCCGGCAGCCAACATGTGCGTGTTGGCACACATAAATTTTGGGGGCGTCTCACACACCGCTTGCCCCGCTGCGGTGGTCCAGTGGCTAAGGTACTCGGCTGCTGATCCGCAGGTCACGGGATCAAATCCCGGCTGCGGCGGCTGCAATTTCGATGGAAGTGGAAATGATGTAGGCCCGTGTGCTCAGATTTGGGTGCACGTTAAAGAACCCCAGGTGGTCAAAATTTCCGGAGCCCTCTATCACGGCGCCTCTCATAATCATATGGTAGTTTCGGGACGTTAAACCCCACATGTGAATCAATCAATCACACACCGCTTGTATGCTCAAACGGACTGAAAAGCAGTGTGCCTATTTATGCAGGTTTTCCGAGTGAAAAACTAATGCTCATTCAGCTTCATCGTGGTGGTGGTGGTGGTGGTGGTGTTGAAAACATTTATTTACAAAATAGAAGTGTAGCACCTCTTTAGAAATGGTGCTTCGTATTGCTCTAGAGAATCATTTCGCTGAAAGCACTACCATATTTGGCAATCGTATGACTGCCGTGTTCAGGGATAAATGTAAAATAATGCTTTTTGCTTGAACTGAGTTCCAGCACTAAACAAGATGTGCATACCTTTGGGCCGAATATTTCGTTGCTGTAATTCAACAATTCAAGCTTAATGAATTCAGGAGAATTAAATAATGAATTGTTTAAACTGATACAAAACAACAAAATCATTGACTTTCTTTATGGGAACATAATACAGATTGACTTGAAATCTTGCTTTTGAATTTGTCGCATTTCGTGACCATGCATCTTGTTTAGCGCCTCAAGGGGATAACTTAAGCACAAGTTGCGCCAGGGCTACATATAAAACAACATTTTGTGCTTGTTAAAGATATTCGCAACAATGCGTGACAAGTGGGCTGTTCAAAGCGTTATTTAGGCAAACTGAGGAAAATGTTTCTTTCTATCCTGAAAATAACTCAAATGTTTCAAGTATACGTTCTGTTAGGTACCCTGTAATTGGTTAGTAATGAGAGTGTTTGAAAGCAAACTACCCGTTGTCGGTAATCCTGCAAATAGTGTGAAGTGATGATAGGCTTGTTGAACAACAAGTGTCAGCGGAGCCATCATTTTCGCAAAGTGACTTTTTTTTCGCCAGAGCAATCAGTGCCTTCTCGGCCCCGTATTTCCATACACTTTTCCAACTATCCCCTAACTTCTAAAATGGAAGATGAAAAGTGAAGGAATACGCACAGATCAGGAAAGAAAAAACGCCAGGCCGGCGAGGTAGGCACAGCAAAGTCACAGCGAAAGCTAGAAGTGTGGCCTTTCAGAGCCTCTTCTAAACACTTATTGGGTAACTGCTGCAAGCACACTTGCTTGATGCTCACTACGGCATTAATAATAAACATCTAAGGGTAGTAGGTCGGCATTCGATATGGTATTTTTCGTCATTCTTCTGAGAAGTGTGGTATCCGCTAAATTGTTGCCTGGAATTTTGTGCCGATTGATCATGTAGTGGCTGAGGATGATGAGTAATTTTGCCTGAAGTTGGTACGCCCCAAAGTTTAGAGTTGAACAAAAACAAGCTTTTGTATAATGTTCGAGCGTTGGACGACCCACTCGTTACGCTCTACACATTGTGCGATGACTGCTGTTCTTCCGCTGTTGTAAAACACTTTATAAGTCATAATAACGCGATTCCTTTCTTGACATCAAGCCTGTCTGAGGCAAGTTTGCCAACAAGTCCCAAGCACCAGCGTAACTCAAGGGTATAATAGTATGCTGGCACCTAGCAGATTCAGGTTTGAGCCCCTTTATGTCATTGGTACTAGGCGTATTTTTTTCTAATTTCGCGCAACGTGGTTACGGACACCAGCTCTGTTGGCAGCAGCGGACAAGTACGGCGCTGCGCGAGACCCTAGTTGTCATCTCATAGCATATTTTGCTGTAAAATGCGATGAGACAACTCAGTCGTGTTACCACTAAATTACTAGCGTGTGAATTGCGGATTCAGTGTCGAGTAGTGAGCGATTACAATGCAGAAAGTAATTATGTGGCTACCTGAAGTTTTTAAAAGTATTGTTCTCATTGAAATGCCATAGGAAAGAGGCGTAGCGTCGAGGTCGTGAGTTTGTGGTTGGTTAGCCTTATTGTTTCGAAAAACGTGAAATCCTTCCTCAACTATAATTTATGTCTATTTATCTCTCCTTCCGGGTGAAGGTACATATAAGAAAGCGTTTGCTCTTAGAGTAGAAATAACACTGTGGTCTTTCTGCGACTACATAGGGTATCATTCTTTCTTAAGTGCCATTTCTGTTCTTGCAGACCAAAAAGGTATTCAATGGCGAATGCCTGAACGGCAAGTGCATCGCCGTGCTGCCACCACCCCCACCACCACCCGCCCCTGCGCCCGCACCTGAGCCCGCACCTGCCTCAGAACCTGCACCTGAACCAGCTCCAGCTCCCGCGCCAGAGCCGGCACCTGCTTCTGCACCGGAGTCTGCACCAGAAGAACAAGCACCTGCCGCTGCCCCTGAAGAAGTTGCACCTGCTGCTGCTCCTGAAGAAGCTGCACCAGCTGAAGAATCTGCCCCTGCACCTGCCGAAGAGCAGCCCGCCGCCGAACCCACTGCACCTGTCGAAGAGGCCGCACAAGAACCTGAGACGGGAGCACCTGAAGAAGCCGCTGATGAGCCCAACGCCGAGCAACCTGCTCAAGAGGCCGACGCTGAACAGCCTGATGCCGCACAACCCGCTGCTGAAGAGACTGCCGCCGAAGAGTCTGCTGCTCCGGAACCCGCCGCTGAAGAGGAAGCCGCTGAAGAAGCCGCTGCAGAAGAGCCCGTGGAAGAGGAGCAAGCCGCAGAGGAGGCTAATGAGGAGCCTGAGCAGGAGACCGATGCGGAAGTTGTTGAAGAAGCTGCTGCAGAAGCTGCTGAAGAAGCCGCCGAAGATGCCTCTGAACAAGACGCCCAGCAGCCAGCTGAAGACACACCGGTGGCTGAACAGCCCTCCGAGGCCACTGACGAGGCCGAAGAAGCTCCTGCAGAGCCATCTGCCGATGACGCTGCAGTAGAAGGCAGCGAAGCTGACGCCGGCGAGGCTGAAGCGTAAACAACTCATGTTGTTTAGACCAATAAAATTTTAAAATTGGATATCCCAGCAATGCTTAACCCTGCAAAGTTGGTAATGCCAGGAGCTAGATTGCCTTTAAATGTATATGCGTAAAGTGCAGCCCGATATGAATTGTTTGTTCTTATAGCTTCTACAGAACATCATCTGGAAACATTTCATTCCACTTCATGTAGTAATGACAAGACTGACGCAAGAATTAAGCTCTGCTTGAACAGAAGTGCCGAGTTCTTGCACAACCAGCGCTCTTGCAATATGTGTCGTATCTGCCTTTCATGCTACTTTTCGCCAGTCAACTATATGCCACACGTTATATATACTCTTATACTATACGTCCGGAGCAACATTTTCTACCAAACAATTCTATGTGTTTGTTATGTTTGCACACTGTGTGCTTGTATGAACTTCATTTTGCAGTGAAGCTTGCAATATTTTTTCGTGGGTTCAATTAGGAACTTTCCCTTTCAGTTTCAATACGCGCTCACTTCTACAAGGAGCATTCTGAATATTGGTCTCAAAGTGCCCTGACGACAATAATAACGGCGCACATTCCTACTATAGCTAGGGAACCACAAAATTACAAACCACGTGTCCTTATTAACACTGGAAGCAAGTGAGATATAAAAAGAGAGAGAAAGAAGAGAAATAAATAAGACGAAATATGAAAATATAGCGCTTTACAGAAAAGAAACTGAAAAAGTGAACAAGAAAAAAAAGAGGCGAAAAGTAAGAGAAAATGAAGAAGAAACAATAAGCGCTGTGCAGCTACGTATTTCCTTTGGGCTTCGCACCTCCATGGCAAAGCTGCCCTACTTTCTCCCTTGCTTAAGAGAGACCACATAATAAAGCAATGTCGGAAAACTCATAGAGAATTTAATGAAGAGACATCTGAAGCAGATACTAAAACTCACTCATGTTTATGCGAGAAATTGCACGAAAATGCGGACTTTTTAATTTTGTTACTTGGTATTGTTGCTGGGTATGTTATTGGGTATGTACTTGGGTCTTCTCTATGCTCGGGCGCCTCGTCATACTCTCGATACTGTCTTTCCATTTTTGGACCACCATAATTCCTGCGTATCCGAGATCGTCTTCCGTGCAGACGAAGCCCGAAGTCTTGCTTACCTGCGCACTCTCAGTTCGCAAGATCACTCAAAGGCACGCTTTCACCGTCGATGCCGACTCGGGACGCATAATCGCGGAGGTCTAGTGTTCCTCTGGACGCCAGCTACAAAGCGGGGATTGTGCGAAGAACTGCTGGCGCACTATGCGGGACATCATCTTGTATAGTCCGCCGGAGCGATATAACTTTCCGCGTAGCGCATCTTCATTTAATTGGCCGTCAGTCTGCAAAGAGTAGTTTCCCAGGCAGCGAGCGTCCTCGAAAAACTGCTCGACTCGTTCAATTGGATAGATAGATGGAAAAACTCTATTTAAAAAAAAGAAACCCTGCAGTGTTACCGGCCCAGGCTCAGGCCACCCGCACGTTTTTCGCAGTGAGGCGTAGCCTTTCCACCGCTGCCCGGGCCCACTGGATTGCCCACAGGTGGTCGTGCAGATCTGAGCTAGTCAGCGCACTTAGCCAACGCTCCTCGAGAAGGTCCGGTTTTATATTGTCCTCTCGGTATATTACTGTGACCTGTGTGCATTGCCCTAGAATATTGCCATATCTGCGTGTTCGTGCTTACAGAGGGTACAGCTTGTTTGTGGGTATTGTCTGGAATTTACTCTGTTCATGTGTACTGGATTTGAAAAGGTTCTGGTTTGCAATCTTCGCCAATCTGTGTCTTGAGATCTGTCTAGCTGATTGTGTGGTGGCGGATATTCTTCTCGTTGTCGCTTATAATGTGTTAATATGTCATGATACGTGACCAGTCTGTCTCGGTCGTCTTGTATCGCATATTCATTATTGTCATCACCTTCATCGTACCCATCACCTTCACCGGAGTCATCCCCCCCCCCTTCTGTGGTCGGTGAGGGGGACCGGGCCGTCACTGTCCGAGCCGTGGTGGGTTAGTTCTTGCACGGTTTGGTGGGCCTTCTCATTGAGGTTTTGAGGGATTGTCGTGTCTTCGAGGTTTAATTCCCCCATGTTCACCGGGATCCACTTGAGGTATTTGAGTACAATTTTGCCGTTATGGAAGTCTCCTGCTCTGCGGTTCAGGATTTTGTCGACTGCGGTGGAGACCCATCCCTTTGTGAAATTTTTAATGGCCATCTTGGAGTCACTGATTATTATTCTGTCGTGTTTTCGATCATTGACTATGGCCAGTGCAATGGCCATTTCTTCCGCTGCCTCCGACGATCTGGTCCTTAAGGAGCTCGCGGCCAAGGTCTCCCCTTTTTTGTCTATGAACGCCATTGCGAAGAAGGAGCCATGCACAACCCTATTACTGATATTATTATTTCGGGAATACCGGGCGGCGTCTACAAAAAGCGCAGCCTTCCGCGCGCCGTGTTCTTTTAAGGATCATTTTCGTGCGGCATTTTGGTCTCTAAACGTTGTGTGCAGGCTGCATATTTTCTGGGATATTTCCGTAATTATCGCGGACCGGACGTCCGGGGGAATCTTTGTCTTGAGATCTTCCATTCCATGGTAATTAATGAAGATCTTTTCAATAACTTCTGTACCCGCCATGGTTCCAGACAATCGTTCGAGTTGCGCTATCCTTTGTGCTTCAGCGATCTCGTCCACCGTGTTATGTACTCCGAGTTGTAACAGCCTTTTGTTCTTTGTGGTAGACCCAGCGGTAGACCCAGCGGTAGACCAAGCGCAGCTCTGTACGCTTTTTCTAATCAGCGCATCGACTTTGTCTTTCTCGGCTTTGCTCCAGTAGACGAACGCCGCTACGTACGCGACATGGCTAATCGCGAAGATCTAGGCGAGTCGTACAACGTTTATTTCTTTAATGCCCCTTTGTTTTATTATATACTCTTTGTATTAATTAGCCTAACGGCTGCAAGACTTTCTTTTCCAGGCGCGTTATAGTTTCCCCATTGGTTCCTCTTGACTTCGATCCAGAGACCCAGGACTCTGATCTTCTGAACCAAGGGTATGTATCACCGTGCCATTTCTAGTGGTTATCCTGATTCTTTTCTGTAATTCTGCTGCGTTTCAGAAATGTATGCCTCGTTTTTTGGGGTGGTATAGTAGCAGTTCTGATTTGCTCGTGGAGCATTCCAATCCGGTGCCATCCAGATGACTCTCGACTGCATCCACCGCCTCTTGAAATCTATCCTCCATCTCGCCTTCACTGGTGTCTTGCGTGGTCCAAATCGTAATGTCGTATGCGTAAATTGTGTGATTGATGCCTCCAATTCGCTCTAATTTTTTGATAATCCAATCATGACGAGGTTAAACAGCATCGGTGACACGACGGACCCTTGCGGTGTGCCAGCGCTGCCCATGTCCACTTGGATGCTCTCCTCTTCGTCCAGTCCAACCATGGTAGTTCTTCCCGTAAGAATATTTCTGATGTACTTGTACGTGCACTCGCCTAAGCCGAGTTCCGCAATTCGTTTTAGAATGGCTGCGTGCTCGACCATGTCGAAGGCCTTCATTAGATCGAGCCCGATTATTGCCCTCATGCCTCGTCCAATTGGGGTCTATGACTTTCTCCTTTAGTTGTATCATGGCATCTTGTATGGAGAGCCCTATTTTCGAACCGATTAGGTTGCTGCAGTATACGTTGCTAGACTCAAGGTAGCTGTTAACCCTGTTCACGCAAGCATGCTCCGTTACTTTACCGACGCAAGAAGTGGGGAAGATGGGCCGCATGTTCTGGATTTCTAGGGGTTTACCCGGCTTAGGAATGAGGATCACGTCGAATTTCTTCCATTCGTCGGGTATCTCCCCTTTTCTTCAGCACTCGTTGATGAAGTCTGTCAAACGGCTCATTCCCTCGTCGTCCAGGTTCCGGAGCATTTTTTTGGACACTTTGTCGAGACATGGAGCTGACTTGGTCTTGATAGTCTGCAGGACTGCCCTGATTTCTTGCTGTGATAAATCTCTGTGAAGATATTCGTTGGGAGAGCCCGAATATTCCTGGTGTTCGACTGATGGGGGTCTGCCGAGGTAGAGCTTGACGATTTCATCGCCCAGCTGATGGATGTTCCCTTTATACCTGTGTCTTATCTTGGTCATTTCCACTTTCCCCGCCATTTTGGTGGCTGACGGGTCCAGCAGGTGCTTGAAGATTTTTCATGTCTTGCCTGTGTTTATGTTGCCGTCCATGGCGTCACACACTTCGTCCCATTTCTGATGGCATAGCTGGGTACAGTGTGTTTCGATGTGCTTGTTTATCTCAGCTAGTTTTCTCCTTAGATTTCTACTGTGTTTTTGCCTATGCAGCCGTTTCTGAATAGATTTTTTGGCTTCGACAAGGTGTGCGAGCCTGCTGTCCATCCGCACTGAGAGGGTTCCGCCACACTCATCTTCCTCTTCTCGTCGAGCCAACCAGTCATCCCACTCCATTTCGGTTGTGGCTTTTTCTACGTCTCGTAGAAGTTCACTGCTCCAATCTTCCATGTTTACAATGGGTCCCTGTTATTTCTCGTTTCTGCTTTTGCGGAATTTGTCCCAATCTGTGCGCCTGATTGTCAGTTTGTAATTCCTGGTAGTAGGATTGCCTAGGGCGATGCTGAGGATCCTGTGATCACTTCCCAGGTCTTCAAAGGTGTTTTCCCACGTAATTCGCACGGCGTTCTTGCAGAGGGTCAAGTCCGGCGTGGTGTTCCTGTGAGGACTTACACCAATTCTGGAGTGAGAGGCTGGCTCATTCAGTATGGCTAGTCCGGCCTTTTTGATGAGGTGGTCAAGGTTTTTTTTCCTTTCTTCGACGAGTGTCCATATCCCCACTGCGTGTGTGGAGCGTTAAAATCTCCTGTGGTAACAAGTCGGTTGTCGCCTGCGATGTTCATCGTTACCTTAATTAGTTCTTCGAAATTATGCTTTAGGTCCTTTTTAGACGGGCTGCTGTATACGTTTAAGAAAAAAGTGCTGCTCTCCTTTTTGCTGCGTGGCACGACTT